AATGTATGCTTCAGACACGGGTCACGACGAGGCGTTCCCCATAGCGACCCCTAGAGGACGCAGTTCGAAATTCCCACGAAAGGGAACAATTTCTTCACACATGAATGTACCGTAGTGAGGGTTTCAATGCATACATCATAATGCTTGTGTAATTAAGAAATGGACATGATGTGAGCATGCTCACCAGCGTGCGTTTTTGTTCATACAGTAAAGAGTCAGCGAGTCATTGAAGTCCTGTATCTTTATCTTGTGGGTCTTCACTGAGCCTTTGATGGCATTGGGAAGCAGAGCTTGTATCAAAGCTTCTGCTCATGAACAGGAAATCTGCCTGCTATCTCCAAAACGTGTGGGAGTATCAGAGCTCCGTCTATCTCTCAGTCCATGAGACCAGACACACGCCGCTTCCAGACTCCACAGCCCTGAATGAGCACTTCTCAGCAGAACCATGACCCTCCAATTGTTGCTCAATGAATATCCACTTGTCTGTGTGAGTGGGAGAGCGTCTTTCTAAGATGTAAGGCTGCTATCGTTGTCTGAGTTTTCCCATGGAGAGCTTTGTGTTAGACTGCCATCCATACATCAGCTCTACGATAACAGATCCACGCTTCCAATACCTCCACTAACAAACCACTGGTGCAGCCAAATGACGGACATCTCGTGTAAAGGGGGGGACATTTACAGTTAGTTCATCAAAGCGTAAAGCCACCAGTACATTTATAGAAAGACTCAATATTTCATGTTTCATGCTGTTGTTTGATGGATATTTCAGAAGAACAAAAAGGAGCCTTAGATGAAAATTTAATTTGCAAGTAAAGAGTTTGTGGTAAGGGAGTGAGAGGCATTGGCTTGACTGTGTTTTAGTTGATTTAGCAAGAACCACAAACAGAACACTGATGTTTCTTAAAGTGGATGGCAACCACAGAGGAAATCGTATGTAAAAGCCTTAGAAAATGTCATTTCAGTGGGAAAACCTTCCTCTGGCAGTTCTTTGTGTTGTTGATATCTACAAATAATATAAAAAATAGTGTGACTTCCTTTCCAGGTGTGTGGGTGAGTCAGAGAACTTGATGCCGTGATGTCACTCCTCAAGTACGGCCGATCTTTGTATATAATGAGTAAGGAATGAACACACTTCCTGTGTGCTGATGATGTCATAGTGACAGCACAGGCCCGGTGCTGCTTCTGCGAGGGGCTGGGCAGCAATAAAATGGGCCCAGAGGACTGAGAGAGAACTGTAAGTCATCTTAAACAGGAAGTGCCTGAGGCCTCAGGCTACGATGACATACAGGAGCCCTCCACCAACTCTTCACAGTTCAGAAGGTGCATAAATCACCCGTGCAAAAGTTAACCTCCAGCCAGGGAAGACACGATCACTGAAGGAGCTCTGGAAATATAACATCGGCCCATCAAAACCATGTGTTGCACTACAGACCGAAGGAGCACATATTTAGGAATATCTCCCGCTGTAGATTGCGGGTCCCTCTCGGATTTGACGATTGTGTTACAGTGTGGCACAAGCAAATGGCCTCTGCAGGTCTGA